TGCCCGTCAGTGTGTTTGTAGAGGAATCAAACATTGCCGTGACAGTGGGAGCTGTGGTAGTCATGACCGGATTCGAATGAAACCTACATCTGTGTGGAATTCTAGCATGTAAGCCTCTCTATCTTCTCCGATATCTGCAGCTGACGCAGGCCTCCTTCCCCACTCCCATGGTAACAGATGCAGGAGTTGAAGTTTGGAAAGGCTAGGTGGAGGTTAGAGCAGGAGGGGGGTGAGATGCACATATTGCTGCCCTGACTCCCCCGCCAAGGGGTCTCTGCAGAGTAAGGGGGCAGGCAGACGGCATCAGCCTGAGAAAGAGCAGACTTTGGAATGAGGAAATCATTGACTCATTCAAACTCTCCTGACTTATCACAGCTGCCAGAAGATGCCTCAGTATGAGAAGTGACAACCAGAGCTACTTCTGGGACCTCCCAAAGGACTTCATTCTCCTGGGCATTTCTGACAGGCCATGGCTGGAGCTCCCACTGTTTGTAGTGCTCCTGGGGTCTTACGTTCTGGCTATGCTGGGAAACATCTCCATTATCCTGGTCTCCCAGCTGGATCCCCAGCTTCACAGTCCTATGTACATTTTCCTTAGCCATCTGTCCTTTCTGGACCTCTGCTACACCACCACCACCGTCCCTCAGATGCTGGTCAACATGGGCAGTTCCCGGAAGACCATCAGTTATGGTGGCTGCACCGTGCAGTACGCCATTTTCCACTGGCTGGGCTGCACCGAGTGCATTGTCTTGGCGGCCATGGCCTTGGACCGCTACGTGGCCATCTGCGAGCCGCTCCGGTATGCCCTTATCATGCACCGCCCGCTCTGCCAGCAGCTGGTGGCTACGGCCTGGCTCAGTGGTTTTGGCAACTCCCTCGTTCAGGTCATCCTGACAGTGAAGTTGCCTTTCTGTGGGCAGCAGGTACTAAACAACTTCTTCTGTGAGGTGCCAGCCATGATCAAGCTGTCCTGTGCCGATACCACGGTGAATGATGTCACACTGGCCGTGCTGGTGGCCTTCTTCGTGCTGGTCCCTCTGGCCCTCATCCTTCTCTCCTACGGCTTCATTACTCGGGCGGTGCTGAGGATCCGGTCCTCCAGGGGGCGGCACAAGGCCATCGGGACTTGCTCCTCCCACTTGGTGGTGGTTTCTCTTTTCTACCTTCCTGCCATCTACATGTACCTGCAGCCTCCCTCCAGTTACTCTCAGGAGCAGGGCAAGTTTATCTCCCTCTTCTACTCCATAATCACGCCCACCCTCAACCCTTTCATCTATACCTTGAGGAATAAGGACGTGAAGGGAGCACTCGGAAGACTCCTGGCGAGGACTGGGAGGCTGTGTGGGAGGTGAAGTTCCGACCTGGGACAAGCTACATAAACTGCAGCTCGGACCTGGGACCTTGTCCCAGAGCTACACAAACTGCAGAACCCTGAGCAAGAACTCGGGGGTGGGAAGGAATGGGGCTTTAGCTCAGCGGCAGAGCCCTTGCTTGGCATGTGTGAGGTCCTGAGTTCAACTCCTAGGACTGAGGAAAATATTTGGAATTATAAGATCTTTGAGAAATTTGAAAACTTAAACACACACACACACACACACACACACACACACACACACAAACTCCATCCCAAAATACTTCACCTCCTATGTGATGATAATGGTTAATGTTGCACATCTAAGAGTAAGGTTATTCTCAAAACACGATCCTAAGAAGCTTCAAGAATCATGTAAATGACCTGGTGTTCACCTGTACGTGTTAGACTGCTGGGCTCCTGATTTCCTTTCTTCTTGTTCCTGTATTTCCTCTCCTGTTTCCCATCTATATCTTTTTAAGCCTCTTTCTTCCTTTGTAGTCACTCCAGATGTGCACAATGTGAACCTGACACACAGTCTTACCTATAATAAACATCTATCTATTCTTCATCCTGATAAATATAGTATTTTCCCAAAATGTCACAAGAAAGACATGACTGCATTTTCTTCTTCCTGGCTTCAGACTGCCTTTATAAAAAGTTTTCCCGCCGCTAACTGAGAACTGTCTTTCTGCTGTGGGCCTAGAAGACTCCCGCTTAGGGTGCATGGATGGAAACAGATAGCTCTAACCTCTCACCTTACAGATGCACATATTCCCGTGGAGACTACGGCAACAAATATGATCGATGTTAGAGACAATAAAGCGTCACATAAAACATTCAAGAGCTTAGCTTGGAGATGTTTAGCTCAGCAATAGAGCTGGTGCATATCCTGGCCCTGGTTTGGGTCGCCAGAGCACATAAAAAACATATTGAAGGTGATTATTATAGCTACCATTTGCAGAAGGTGTCTGTGATGTTGGAGATCTAGTGAGTGTATGTAAGTACCAATCTGTATGATACTGATCCTCATGACATGGTCCCTTTTCCAACTTCCCTTTTCATATAATAATCAATTATTAAAGGCCACAGTGATTGCTCTAATTATTATAGAGTTCTGGTAGCCAAGGAAACCAAGATGCTCACAAACACCCTACTGGCTGCCCTTGGAATGGAGCTATTGCAAGCACCTTATATTTATTTGTATTTGCTTTTCTTTCATTTTTATTAAACCAGTCTGGAAGATTGTATTTGATTTTAAATTATGTGTATATCTGGGGAGCGGGGCATGTGTGTGTGAGTGCAGTTGCTCACAGAGGCCAGAGAGGGCATCAGAGCTGGAACTGAACTCAAGTCCTCTGCAAGAGCAGCAGGCACTCTCAGCCACAGAGCCATCCCTCCAGCACCTTGCCTGATCCTTTTATACTTAGTTCTTTGTTTCTGCCCTGCTGCCTCAGTGTAATGCAACCAAGCCTAGTAAATTAACAACAAATGGATGAAAATCAGGAAAAGAAGAAAATTATCTAGCAGGAAAAGCTTAAATGCAAGTCACAGAGCTGAAAAAAAAAGTTGATTAAGAAATGCGAACCATAGTGACTGCCCCGGATCCAGGACCACTGTTTTTTTTCCAACGGATTTCCATAGAGCTGCATAGCAGTTCAGAGCCCTTTATAACCCAGAATAACAAAGAAGAGCCCATAATCAATGGTACAAATTCGAGCCAAAATTAATAAATCAACATGGTAAGAATCACCCAAAAAGATAACCAGAGAATATATCAATACAATAATTTGAGCTAATTCTAGGACACTTTTGGGTGTTGAGAATTATGTTTCCCAAAACAGATGTGCTAATTGTCAATCTCACATTCTCTTTACTTTGTGAAGGCTACGTTTAGCAACTTGCTCGGCCACTAGAACTCGGTGAGAGATTCTTTAGATCTTCCTGGACAGGGTTGTAAGTTACCTGGCAACTTTTAGTGATAGTCCCAGGTACCCCGAGTTACCAAGAAGTCTGTTATCTGTAAGACCGACCATGCTGGCAAGATTACAAACAAAGGTGATAGTCCCGGGTACCCCGAATTCCCGAGAAGTCTGTTATCTCTAAGACCAAGCATGCTGGGGGAGATTACAAATGAAGGTGATAGTCCTGGGTACCCCGAGCTATCGAGAAGTCTGTTGTTGCTACAACCAACCATGCTGGGGAGATTACAAATGAAGGTGATAGTCCCAGGTACCCTGAGTTCCCGAGAAGTCTGTTATCTCTAAGACCGACTATGCTGGGGAGATTACAAACGAAGCACCATGTGAACCAGTCCAGCCAGCTCTCCAACTCTTGAATGGAGCTGGATCCTCTAACCAGATAATCCCTCAGAACCTAAACAAATTCATGGGTCCTCGAAGATGAAATATAATAAATAGTCATTATTCTCAAGTACTAGGTGTTGGCATGGGCTGTCACGGTGCCTGGAGCAATAGGGATCCCTTAGAATATCTATTTTCACAGATATGCAATGTCATAGGATAAGCATAGAGGATTTAAAAAAACATTTATTTTATGGATATTTGCCTATGGAGGTCAAAGAGGGTCCTCTGAAACTGGAGTTACAGACAGTTGTGAGCCGCCCTGTGAGTGCTGGGTAATGAACCCAGGACCTCTGGAAAAGCAGCCAGTGCTCTTAACCACTGAGCCATTTTTCAAGTCCTGAGAACTTCTTTTACTTAGAGTTATAAAGTATTTAAGTGATTCAACTCACAAGTAAATTAAAACATGTTTACATAACAAACTGATATGTAATAGAAATTAAAAAGTGGATTTTGATAACGCATGTCAAATGCGTTGACAACAGTGAGGTAATGTGTCACAATTCAGGTTATTATGATACAGAAAGCAAATATGTAGATAAATATTCAAAGTCCTAGACTAAGGCTTGGGGTACATACAACTCAATACTAGCATCCAATCACCAGCATTACCGATGATGCTGCTGCTACTGCATGCACACGCACGCACACACACACACACACACACACACACACTCCTAAGTCGGCAAACAGTTTGCACTGATTTTTGCACCGCACAGTTTTCTTTATTACATTAGTCTCTCTAGGAAGCTATAGCTCAGTTGGTGCGATGCTCGCCAAGCATCCACAAAGAATGGGTTTGAGCTCCAGTGTCACGTAAACCTCGTGGTGGCACAAGCCTGCAATACCAGCACTGGCGAGGTGGAGTGAGGACCCGAAGTTCAAGGGGAAAAGTGGGCCATTTTTTAAAGTCAGTTTATCCAAAGAGAGTGTTTAGTGGCATGGTTGCTCTGCCCTTGCATAATCTCCTATACTAACAGTTCACCAACCCCATTTCCATAGCAAAGGTCTGGAGAGTCCACTGGACAATATTAAACAATATTTCCACTCTGGAAAATGCTGTATTGTTTAAAAGTTGTTCCTGCTAGGTGGTGGTGGCACACGCCTTTAATCCCAACACTCAGGAGGCAGAGGCAGGTGGATCTCTGTAAGTTTGAGGCCAGCCTGGAGCAAATTCTAGGACAGACTCCAAAGCGACACAGAGAAACCCTGTCTTGAAAAACAAAAACAAAAAAAGATATTTTAAGTATGTAAAGTGATTTATTTTTAGAAGTTTGGACAAATAACTTAAAAGAATTCTAGGTACATTTTTAAATTAAGAAAGTAGTACATGAATACAATAAATACAAAATGGATTTTTATAAATCTCTGGACTTTTGGGTAGCTAAATAAAAAACATAACTATTAAAAAGTAAAAAAAAATGAGTAGTTACCACAAACTTGCCATTTAGCACACAGCCACCTACTTACATGGTACAGTCAGTTAACAGAAGACCAAGAACAAGGATACGGACAAATGTAAAGAAAACAAGGGGAGAGACGTGGGGGAAGAAAAAAAGAAGAGCATGAGCGGAGGAAAGGACGGAATGTTTCTGTGAGTTCGTTCCATGAGGTCACCAAGAGGGAACACCTTGCCAGCTGAGGACGTGACGGAGCCGCATCCTCTGCCATCTTCGCATTACCAGTGTCTTCACTGGGGAAACATCCTTGGCTCCCACAGGAGCCTTTGCTGCAGACCCTGAGCTAGGAGAGCCCTGGCCGTGGTTCTGATGGTGGAGGCAGGTCTGACAACCCTGAAGAATGGTGTGCACTAGGGCACGGAGCAGGACGGTGGCGCCTGGCAGTCCTGTGCCCACGCCTACCAAGAAGGCTCAAAGACGACAGTCAGCTCCGGCTTCTCTTCCTGAAGCGCTTGTAAGGCACATTTTGTTTCATAATTAAAATACATTTCACCCAACCTATAAAAACAGAAAGAAAGCTTTGGTCAGATTCTCAGAAAACTGGGAATTGGGCCTTTAAAATGTCAGCTCATCTGGTGTGGGGGTGTAGACCTATATAATGTGTGCGCTTGGGAGGCTAAAGCAGGAGGAGTAGCACAGTTCAAGGGTAGCCTGGGCTACCTAGTGAGTTTAAAGCTAAGCCAGCCTGGGCACTTAAGACATCATCGTGTGTGTGTGTGTGTGTGTGTGTGTGTGTGTGTGTGTGTACATGCATGTAATCTCATTTCCTTTAATCCCATCTCCATGCCCTGAAATACTGAGTTTCCTAACCAATGTCGTTTCTGTGCTTTCTAAAGAAAGTCACACTGTTTTGTCTGTTGTCCTCAAACTTCTAGACTCAAGCAATCCTCCTTCCTCAGGCCCCTGACAAGCTGGAGCTACAGAGTTTTGTATGCAGCTTATTGTATATTGACCCTCATTTTCAGATAGACAGGAGGGAGCGTGAATCCCCTTACACCATTTCCCGGGTTCAACAGCTGAAGCAGCTCATGGTCAACCATGCTCGTCTGTTGGCTTCCCACACCTTCCTGACTGGACACCGTGACTCCATGTATTCATAGTTATCTCACTGTGTAATATCTAATGGCCAATGCTTTTTACAAGAAAACTGCAATGTTCTCTCACATCTTACTGTCAATGTTCAGCATATGTTGAACTTTCCTCAACTGTCTCGGAAATATTTTACAATATGTTTATTTAATCGAGACTTCCTACAAATCTACGCATTGCAATTTCTTGATATGCCTCTCAAACAGTCTGCACATATTTTCTTATTCAGGATCTTGTTAGGTAGTGAGGCTGTTCTCAAATTAGACATCCTCCTGCCTCCACTCCCTGAATGCTGGGATTATTGGTATGAGCCACCACAGTCAACTTAAGTACCAAATCCACTTTCTTCATTAAAATTTCCTTGAAAGGAGAACCGTCATAAGCAAGCAGAACCAGGTGTCTTATGTGCTCCCCACTGAACCCGCCTTCCTGTCCCGCCTCAAGGAAGGCCCCACCTTAGAGACCAAGAAAATCCAGCCTCAGCTCTCAGATGATGATGGGGATCACAGGGACAAAGAAGATGAGCAGCCTCAAGTAGTGGTTTTAAAAATGGAGATCTAGCAGCTGAAGAAGTCATGAAAATTAAAGCAGAGATAGAGGCTGCCAAAGCAGATGATCTCCAACTGACGGAACAATCAGGTATCAAAAACCAGGTAAGCGTTCCTCAGTTGAAAAGTGTTCAGGTTTAAACAGCAAGCTCCAGGAAGAAAAGAAGGAAAGGAAGAAAGAAAGAAAGAAAGAAAGAAAGAAAACCAATGAAGATGATGTAAATAAGCAGAATTCAGCTAAAAAGAACTCACAAAAGCAAATAAGAAACGGTAGTCTGCTTTCTGTCGACAGTGAAGATGAACGTGAGTAAGTGTGAACACCGTGGACGTGGTTTCCTTGGAAAACAATGAGGTATTTTTTACAACATTGACTTTCCTGTATCTTAAAGTGACACTTTCCCCTAGTCCTTCAGGTTCATCCCAGAAAGCTTCACAAATACAGAAGAGAAATTCTTGAAATAAAACCCATCCAATGATGCCCCTTTGGCTGGCAATGCTAGACTTTCACTACTGTTAGCATTTGGTTTACCTCCCACTGTGGGTATGTACATATGTAAGTTACACTTTTAAACAAAACTGAGATTGTTGTTTTAAAAAGTTTCCTTGAAAGTTAACCAAGGAGATGGAGCACTCGCCCTGCGTCTTTTCCCACAACGTCAGGTTGAGCTGTGGACTGTGCGTTCGCACACCTTCAGAGTGCGCCTGTGTTGGAGTCCTACCCTGAAATGTGGGGTACGGTCTGCAGGTGGTGACTGAAGTTGGGCAAAAGTTAAGAACAGAGTCCTTGTGACAGGATTAGAACCCTTATCCCAGGAAACCTGTCCTCTTCCCATCTCACCCTCAGTGTGAGCACACGGTGAGCCAGCCCCTCTGCTGGTGTGAGCACACAGTGAGCCAGCCCTCTGCTAGTGTGAGCACACAGTGAGCCAGCCCTCTGCTAGTGTGAGCACACGGTGAGCCAGCCCTCTGCTAGTGTGAGCACACGGTGAGCCAGCCCTCTGCTAGTGTGAGCACACGGTGAGCCAGGCCCTCTGCTAGTGAAGAAGAGCCCTTTTCTGGCAACTAAATAAGCCACACCTCATTTCAGATGTTCTGGCTTCTAGAGCTGCAGTTAAACAGACTCCTGTTGTTTAAGTTACCTGATCGATAGTGTTTTGTTTTACCTGACAAGCTGGCTACATCCCAGAATCCCCTAGGCTGTTTTGAGCCTAGCCCCCAGCTCAGTCATGACAATCCCTCTACTGGATCCCTATCCCCAACTTTGTTCTTCCTGTGGCTTCTGGTCCATTCATACTAAGGATCACAAGCTTCTGGGGGCGTCTAGGACCCCTTGTCATGTGGCTTTGGCTGTCGATGAATACATCTTTTCTTGGTCCTTGTTCATTCTGCTCTAGGCCCTCCATATTTTAAACCACTTGGGATTCAATTGGGTATGAAAAAACTTCCCATCCTTAAAGAAAAGCAAATCTCAATGAAAAGCAGCCACACTGAACAATATTTATTTTCAAGAGATTATTGGTTTTCAGGATAAAGCCTTTCACACTCAATTGAATCTTGGCTAGTCTAAATACCTGGCTGCTGTTGAATGTAACTTTCCCCACATTGCTCTGTTTTTTAAGATCTCCAACAACTGGCCCAGATCTCTCTAAGCCCCCTGGGCACTCACTGTAGGCTCTGCAGGAGGCAGCCCTGCTGCTTCAGAACCTCGCAGAGCATCACCACGGCCAGGTCGCCCAGATCGTTGTTGCCCAGGTCCAGCTTCCGGAGGCTCCGGTTGTGGGTCAGCATTTTGGAGAGATTCCAGCAGCAGTGTGAGGTGAGACTGCAGTTGTCCAACCTTCGAGAAACGAGGGCGGTGTAAAGAAAATATCCTCAGCCCCCCATCCCGCCCCGCGGTCTCCAAGGTCTTAGCCGGCATTATTTCCCACGCCCAAAAAGCCCAGGCATGAGCAGCTTGAAGCAGCTTTATACAGTACTGATGTTTCTGTCCCCCTTCAGATGGAAGTTTCTTTTCCCAATGTACTGGATTGCACAGACCAAAATAGTAACAGAAATATGTTAGCTGACTTTTTTAAGCACTGTTTCCCCTAGATTTCCACAAAATACCAATGCCATATCATATGAATTTGCCTCTGTTTTTGAGGCCTGGGGTTGGCAGAAACTCAACTATTGAGCTTCACACCATCTGGAAATGTCCCAGGTCTGCCTAAAGAACCGACACCCAGGAAGACTCCTCGCTCCTCAGACTCAGTTTTTTTTTTTATTGAAAGAAAAAAAAAAGAAACTCCCGCCTCCTCCCAGCCTCCCATTTCCCTCCCCCTCCTCCCACTCTTCTCCTCCTCCCCCCACTCCTCTCTCCCTCCCTCTCCAGTCCGAAGAGCTGTCAGGGTTCCCTGCCCTGTGGAAAGTCCAAGGTCCTCCCCCCTCCATCCAGGTCTAGGAAGGTGAACATCCATACTGGCTAGGCTCCCACAAAGCCAGAACATAAAGTAGGATCAAAACCCAGTGCCACTGTCTTTGGCTTCTCATCAGCCCTCATTATCCGCCATGTTCAAAGAGTCCGGTTTTATCCCATGCTTTTTCAGTCACAGTCCAACTGGCCTTGGTGAGCTCCCAATAGATCAGCCCCACTGTCTCAGTGGGTGGGTGCACCCCTCGTGGTCCTGACTTCCTTGCTCATGTTCTCCCTCCTTCTGCTCCTCATTGGGACCTTGGGAGCTCAGTCCGATGCTCCAGTGTGGGTCTCTGTCTCTATCTCCATCCATCGCCAGATGAAGGTTCTATGGTGATATGCAAGATATTCATCAATATGGCTATAGGATAGGGTAATTTCAGGTTCCCTATCCTCAGCTGCCCAAGGAACTAACTGGGGACATCACCCTGGGCACCTGGGAGCCCCTCTAGGTTCAAGTCTCTTGCCAACCCTAAGATGGCTCCCTTAATTAAGTTATGTGATTCCCTGCTCCTCTATCCAACCTTCCTTTCTTCCAATCATCCCATTTCCCCAAGTTCCCCCCATTCTCCCCTTCTTACTTTTCTCTCCCCATCTCCCCTTACCCCTGTCCCACCCCACCCCCAAGTCCCCAATTTTTTGCCCGGCAATCTTGTCTACTTCCCATACCCAGGATAACAACTATATGTTTTTCTTTGGATTCACCTTCTTATTTAGCTTCTTTAGGATCCCAGATTATAGACTCAATGACCATTATTTGTGGCTAGAAACCAATTATGAGTGAGTACATCCCATGTTCCTCTTTTTGGGTCTGGGATACCTCACTCAGGATAGTGTTTTCTATTTCCATCCATTTGCATGCAAAATTCGAGAAGTCATTGTTTTTTACCGCTGAGTAGTACTCTAATGTGTACATATTCCACACTTTCTTCATCCATTCTTCCATTGAAGGACATCTAGGTTGTTTCCAGGTTCTGGCTATAACAAATAATGCTGCTATGAACATAGTTGAACAAATGCTTTTGTCGTATGATAGGGTATCTCTTGGGTATATTCCCAAGAGTGGTATTGCTGGGTCCAGGGGTAGGTTGATCCCGAATTTCCTGAGAAACCGCCACACTGCTTTCCAGAGTGGTTGCACAAGTTTGCATTCCCACCAGCAATGGATGAGTGTACCCCTTCCTCCACAACCTCTCCAGCAAAGGCTATCATTGGTGTTTTTGATTTTAGCCATTCTGACAGGTGTAAGATGATATCTCAAAGTTGTTTTGATTTGCATTTCCCTGATTGCTAAAGAGGTAGAGCATGATCTTAAGTGTCTTTTGGCCATTTGAACTTCTTCTGTTGAGAATTCTCTGTTCAGTTCCGTGCCCCATTTTTTAATTGGGTTAATTAGCATTTTAAAGTCTAGTTTCTTGAGTTCTTTATATATTTTGGAGATCAGACCTTTGTCTGTTGCAGGGTTGGTGACGATCTTCTCCCAGTCAGTAGGTTGCCTTTTTGTCTTAGTGAGAGTGTCCTTTGCTTTACAGAAGCTTCTCAGTTTCAGAAGGTCCCATTTATTCAATGTTTCCCTTAATGTCTGTGCTGCTGGGGTTATACATAGGAAGCTATCTCCTGTGCCCATTTGTTGTAGTGTACTTCCCACTTTCTCTTCTGTCAGGTTCAGTGTGTTCGGACTGATATTGAGGTCTTTAATCCATTTGGACTTGAGTTTTGTGCATGGTGATAGATATGGGTCTATTTTCATTCTTCTACAGGTTGACATCCAGTTGTGCCAGCACCATTTGTTGAAGATGCTTTCTTTCTTCCATTGTATGCTTTTAGCTTCTTTATCAAAAATGAGGTGTTCATAGATTTGTGGGTTAAAATCCGGGTCTTCAATATGATTCCATTGGTCGACTTCTCTGTTTTTATGCCAATACCACACTGTTTTCATTACTGTAGCTCTGTAATATTTGCCTCCTGGTTGCTCTCCAGTCTCCCTCCCACCACATATTCCCATCACCTCAGGCAGCCTATGGACTCCCACCACATATTCCCATCACCTCAGGCAGCCCCTGGACTCACTCCAGCATCTGTAGCTTGCAGTCGGGGTGCAGAAGTCCCTCACAGAGGAGCTTGAGCCCCGTGTCTCCAAGAGTGTTGTTTCGTAGGTAGAGGTGCGTGAGGCTCCGGCTGGCTTCGAGAACAGAGGTCAGCGCTGAACAACAAACGGAAGTGAGGCCAGAATTCACCAACCTATAGGAAAACCAGAGGAAAGAGAGTTCTCAGTGCCCAGGCTCTCTCAGACATGGCACGCTGCTTTGAGCTGCATCCTCCGACTTAAAGGTCAGAAGCCAGCATCTTGGATACAATCTGAAGCGTGAATCCACATCTCTGGATCCCACAAGAGGGGAACAAGGGCCTCAGCATACGCTGTGCTTGAATGAGCACAAGAGAAAGAGAGAAAAGCAAATGATCGGACTGATGGATGCACCCACACTTCTCACACAGATTCCCTCTGGCAGCAGACACTCCTCTGGGCCGCCTCATCTGAAAGAACACCCCACATTCCCCTAACTACAATCCTTTGACACTGCAGACAGCCATCTTGACTCTGATGTCACTCAGGCAAGATAACAATGCAGCCGCCACAAGTACCACACACCTGTCACAGATTGGAAATCAGCGGTCATGAGGTTGTGTCTCCCTGAAAGTTAAGGACAGATGTGCGGTAGGGGCAGAGTCAGGCTCAGTGGGGATTCTGGGGACTTGCTGTAACTTACAGTGATGGGGCAAAAGAGGGGGCAGGGACCTTGTGGGCCAGGTAAGGTGGGGTGATTTCACCACATCCGCCGTCTGTCACACCTCCCATCCATCTGCCTGTCCCTTAGCACAAAACCACTGATCTGTATTACTACCGATGGAAAGAGATCATTACATTTTTATTACATTTTGTGAGAGACAGAGACAGAGAGCATGCACCTCAGAGGACGGCTCTGCGAGTCCCAGGAATGAAGCTCAGGTTATCAGGCTTGATGGAAGGAGCCTTTACCTCTCAGACCTCACAACAGTCCAAGAATTTTTGATTTACTCTTCTTGGGTCAAGTTGAGCACTGTCTACAGCCAAGCGCTGTGCTTTAAATATGTGTCCCCGTTCCTCCCCACCCCCTCCCCCGCCAGACTCACATGCTTGAATACTGGGTCACCAGTTGGTGGTGCTGTTTAGACATGTTTTTGGTGGGACCATCCGGAGGTGTGGCTTGGCTGGAGGAAATAGGTCACTAGAAGGCGGGCCTTATAACTCTGGCCAGTTCAGGTCCATGCTCTCTGCTTGGCCTGATCCACCAGATCCACCCAGAGAAGAACAGCCTCCTACTGTTATGGAGTCACCTGAATCCATGCCTAGCACGGATGAGGCCCTGGGTTCCTTTCCTGGCACCACGGAAAAGAGGACAGTGCCCTAGCCAGGTGATTAGAATGTTGGTAACCACTGAGGCTGAGGCATGAGTATGCATGGCAAAATGTTTTGAAAATCAAACAACCACATACTGTCAGCCCACCCGCTGGCAATATCTCAGTTCCAGCCAATCCCCATGAGGGTTTACATACTAACTGTTAACTTGACATGATCTAGAATCACTTTTAAGACAAATCTTTGGGCCTATCTGTGAGGAATTGTCTAGATTAGGTTAGCTGAGGTAAGAAACCCTACCTTAAATGAATATAGGTGGTACCATTCCATGGGCTGGGGTCCCAGACTGAATTAAAAGGAAAAAGTCAAGGGAGTAGCAACCTTTGTCTCTCTCTGCGTCCTGTTTGTGGCTTCGACATGACCAGCCTCTTCACACTCCTGCCAATGTGTCTCCCGGTGTCTCCTGCACTCCCCCACGTCTGCCCATGAGCTGTACCCTCACACTGGGAACCAAAATAAACCCTAGATAGCTTTGTGCTGTGTCCTGAACACAGGTTGCTACCTGCTGCGTTCAGTTAATTCCATATGGTTTTCCTATTTATCAGCAATCTGCCCTATTTCACAAAACGGTCTCGTGATGACAACTGAAGAAGTTCTAACATGGTTGAGTATTTATTATGTAGGATAATGGTATCAAATATGATTGTTTTATTCCATTATTACAAACTCAAGATAGTAGTATTAATTTTATTTCCTTTTTTTGTTTTCTTTTGAGACAGAATCTCCCATAACCCAGGATGGTCTCTAACTTGTTGTATAGTCTAGGGTGACTTTGAACTTCTGATCCTCTGCAGTGCTGGGATTACAAGCATGCACCACCACACCCTATTTAAGACATGCTAATGATCAGACCCAGGGCTTTGTATGCCAGGAAAACACTGTCAACTAAGCTACAACCCTAACCTCCATATCTCTACGTTTAAGTAATAAAAGTAGAGAGCAGAATAATTATTTGAGGTCTGGTGAGATGAATCAGCAGAAAAAGGCTCTTGGCTGCCAAACTTGATGGTCTGAGCTTGATCCCAGTGACCCACGTGATGAAAGAAAGAGAATGAAGCCCTATGAGTCATCATCTGACTTCTACATGCACGCAATGGCACGCACGCCCACGGATACATGTAGGCACTCTATACAGGATATGTAAAAAAAAATAATTGCAATCATTATTAACCAGAATAATTACGTGAAAAATAATGAAAGCTTCCTATTTGTCCATGGGAAGAAAAGGATCAACCAAGCTTCCATGAGGAAGAGATTATGAATGACAAAGAAAAGTAGAAGAACAGGCCAGGCCTTGGAATAGAAAACTAATTCAATACAGCTCAGAATGAGGGGAAGGTAGAATGAAAACTGGTCCTCCCCTCCAAAAAAGAAAGGAAGAAAGGAAGAAAGGAGGGAGGGAGGGAGGGAGGGAGGGAGGGAGGGAGGGAGGAAGGAAGGAAGGAAGGAAGGAAGGAGACAAGGAAAGAATTGAAAGTTGTTGGGAAATAGTTTAAGGTATGTTATTTTTGTTTATGTTGCATTTGTTTAACTCTGTGAAGCTGTGATACTTTGCCCATCTAGAACACCTGATGGTCCTAATAAAGATCTCAATTGCCAGGCTGGATGGTTCAGAGGTTAAGAGCACAGCCTGTTCTTCCAGGTTTGCAGAGACAGAGACACTTTTCACTTTCACCTTCACAAACCTGGATAACTCCTTACGTTAAACTAAGTATGATACTTTTGTAGCAAAACTCAGAAGTGGCATCTGGGTGTGAGATCTATTTGGGAAGACATCTGTCTATGGGTGGTTATTGACACTTGGGGCTACATAAGACATCTTAGAGAGTGTAGAAACAAACAACAGGAAATCAGTGGGGAAAGCTGCAGATCACAGGGGGAGAAGCCAGTGCCGAATTTACAAAAGAGGAACCCATCACCTCAACGTGAAAGGCAGCACTCACAGGGCAAGGATGAGCTGCAGGGATGAGCCAAGCTAAGAGTTGGGAAGGACCGGCAGAAGTGGGACAGGATCCTGAGGCCAACACTACCACATCCCGGTCTGTGGCCAATGGATTACCCCTTCCCTAGCGCTGTGCGTGGAAACAAGATCACATCCACCATCAGGACCCGTAACAGAGCTCCAGCGACCTTAGGAAACTCAGGGGCCAGATCCCATCCGTTCATTCAGAAGCCACGCTGTAGCAGTATAGGAAGGCAATCTGGTAATGTCTGAGGCTGGGCTAATAGAGCATGCTCAGGGAAGTATCAGAGTTTACAATTAATATTGGTGGTTAATTATGGATAATTGATTTCAGGTGTTTTGGATTTTGGATTTTTTTTTAAGACATAGATCTGTGTAGCCCAAGTTAGTTTCAAACTCACTATGTAACTGAGGATGACCTCGAACTTCTGATCATCCTGCCTTTCCCTCCCAAGTGCTAGGATTACAGGAATGTGAACAAAACCCAGTTTACTCTGTACTAGGGATGGAACTCAAGGCATGATGCATGCTAAGCAAGAATTCTACCAATTGAGCCACATGTCCAGACTCATCTTGTTATACCTTTTTTTTTTCAAAGGCAGGATCTCATATATAGCTCTGACTGTCCTGGAAGTTACTAAGTAGACCAGGCTGGCTTCAAACTCATGGAAAACTACCTGTCTCTGCCCTCCAAGTGCTGGGATTAAAGGCCTGTACCAGTATGCTCAGCTTGCTTTACTGTGTCCTAAATATTTATCTAGCTGCCATTTCTATCAATCATGTGAATGAAGACATATTCAGTTTGTTTGTTTTATTTATAGATATTGACAGAAAGGACATTTTAGTCTTTCCCAGCTGAGTTAGCAGAGACGGGGGTAAGGTTAGGAGCAGATGCTGAAACCTCGCAGAGTACAATTGTGAACATAACCAGACCGAGGTACTCGCAAAGGGGTGGGCTGGGGAATCGCACAAGGGTGTCTGGTTCTAGCCAGCACCCACAGGCGGAGATCTGGAGCTCCTGAGCCCCATTTTCACCTCTTTGTGAAATACAGGCATTGGTGAGCACTTAGCTCCATTTCCAGAGGGCAATGAGCTGATTCTCACGAGGATCGTGAAAGAGTAGCCAATGGCCATTAGCTGGCGGTCTGTGCTTTTACTCGCTGCAGAATTCCAACCTCAAAAACCTGATGTGAGGCCAGCAAAATGGCTCTGCTGGGGAAGGTACCCGCCGCCAAGCTGAACAACCTAGTTCCGTCCCTGGGAGGCATGTCCAGGTGGAAGAGAAGAACTGACCCTGTAGAGTTGTCCTTTGACCTCCACACATGTGCTGGGGTGCACATTAAATAAGCAAATGAGTAAATCCATAAATGAATATATTGAGTTTTTGAAAGACATATAGACTACCAAACATAAGGAAATCACACTGAAAACAGAACACCCCACCCCCAAACGTAAAAGTCTCACTGGGTCTTCGGGTCTGGATGCCAAGAGAAACATCCCCAATCCAGCTGTTTCCTGGGAGAGCTTGGCTAGACTGGTGCTGATGCTGAGCTGTGCCACCGCTGAGGATCTAGAGACATCTGTGCCACATTAGTATGATGCTATCTTTGGGGACTAGAGACTGGGGCTGCTGCTCCAGTGCAGAACCTGAGAAGCTGCGGTTGGGGGATGAGAGCTCAGGGCAGAGAACTTGCTTTACAGAACTCATTTACGTCCTTGAAAGCGCTCACACAGTAAAGGGGTTACTGCCCTCGTACAGGTCTCAGAAGCAAGTTTCGTGCTCAATGGGAGAAATAGAGCTGCACAACCACTAAGAAGCTCTGACTATACTGCCATGAGCCAGTAAGTAGGACTCACCTCGTCAGTAGTAATGCCACTGTTCCCCGGTGTCTTTGGGTAACTTTTTCTAAGACACCTACAGGTGCCAACATCTGTGGGTGTTCATGTCCCTCATGTAAAAAGGCAGAGTATTTGCCTAACACCTCTGTGCATCCTCCCATGGACTGTAAATTATCTCCAGATTACTTACGATACCTCTCATGGCATACATGTTACACCATAAGTAGTATGCTGTATTGTTCAGAGAATAATGACAAAGAGAAAGGTTCATATACATCAAATGCAGACATAATTTTTCCTACTATTTTTAGCCCACAGCTGGTTAAACCTGTGGCTCCTTGAATCTGCAGTGCAGAATCCCTGCTGTGTGCTGCATGAATCTGATGCGTCAAACCACGTCTGATGCTCATGCTGCGGCCCCCACTTCATCTCCAGCTGATGAACCTTTCCTAGAGTGGCCCCATCCATGTTTTCCAAATAAACCATCTCTGAAGAGAATTGGATTTTCCACAGAGAGACGAAGACTTACTTACCCCAGCTTCTGCAAGTTACATTGAGGGTGCTTGATTTTTTCACACAAAACTTGAACTCCTGAATCTCCCAAGGCGTTTTCTCCGATGTATAGTCTGGTCAGAGAACAGTGGGAGCTCAGAACCAACGCGAGATCCTCACAGCACGCAGATGTGAGACAGCAGCTGACCAACCTTGCATGCAGAGGGTACAGGGTCAGTGCCATCTCTCATGCCTCTGTACCATGTGCCAGGAGACTGCACCTCCTGCTGCTCCCTCCACTGAAATCTGCACCTCAGCTCCACAGAGCTCTCTCTCATCCCTTCCCCGTTTGGTGAGACAACAGCTACTAGACCCATTCCTGCACTAGAACATCTTTCCTGTTCCCTTCACTGGCTTTTATTGAAATAAAATGTACATATGGGCACCAGGGAGATGGTGCAGCGAGTAAAGGCATTTGCTACCGAGTCTGAAGACCCGAGTTCTGGAACCCACATAAAGGAGACAGCTGACTCCAAAAAGTTGTCTTCTGACCTTCATACATGTGCCATGGCATGCACATGTGTGTGTGCATGTACATACACACACAGAGAGAAAGAGAAATAATATAAAGACAGGCTTTTAATGTATACATGATAAATTATATCATCAAAACCACTTTTAGGGCAGAATTTTCTTGAGGCCCGGTAGCAGAGGCCTGCAAACTCGGCTACTCAGAAGGCTGAGGTAACAGTCTTAAGCTAAAGCCCACACCCCCCGAGAAATTAGCAAGATCTTGCCTCACGATGAAAAAGAAAAGTTGTTATGATGTAGCATGAAACTGGACCTTGGAGGGTTTGAGGAGTGCCGTGGAGGGTGAGAGACAAACGCCAGGCAGATGGGAATAGAAAAGAGGGGAGGGGAAAGACCAGCCTCTGGGGACAGGAGTAGCAGAAGAGGAGAGAGAGCTCTTTGTTGGTTGTTTTCTATTACCTTTGATCCTTCTGCCACCACATCTGGTTTAATTCAGTGCTGGGAATCAAACCTGGGGCCTCACGTATGCTAGACCAGCACTCTACCAGCTGAGTTGCCTCCTCCACCCTCTAGTGCTTTCTTACCTCTTTAGAAACTGAGAACTCAAGAACAATGGCAATGGGTTTTTGATCCTACTGCATGTACTGGCTTTGGGGGAGCCTAGGCAGTTTGGATGCTCACCTTACTAGACCTGGATGGAGGTGGGTGGTCCTTGAACTTCCCACAGGTCAGGGAACCCTGATTGCTCTTTGAGCTGATGAGGGAGAGGGACTTGATCGGGGGAGAGGGAGGGAAATGGGAGGCGGTGGCAGGGAGGAGGCAGAAATCTTTAATAAATAAATAAAACAATAAAATTTTAAAAAAAATAAATAAATAAGAAGAATTCAGGTCTCCTAGAAACATTCAGTAAAGCAGCGCACAATAAAGGAAGCACCTCCATTGCGCCAGCACCATGTTCTTCCTGCTCAATGAGAGGACTGAGGGTCGATTATGAGCTCTCAAAACTCTTCTCCCCAAGTCCAAATGGACTAAAGACCTCAATATCAGTCCGAACACAATGAACCTGATAGAAGAGAAAGTGGGAAGTACTCTACAACACATGGGCACAGGAGACCACTTCCTACGTATAACCCCAGCAGCACAGACATTAAGGGCCTCATTGAATAAATGGGACCTCCTAAGACTGAGAAGCTTCTGTAAAGCAAAGGACACTGTCACTAAGACAAAAAGGCAACCCACTGACTGGGAGAAGACCTTCACCAACCCCGCAACTGACAAAGGTCTGATCTCCAAAATATATAAAGAACTCAAGAAACTAGACCGCAAAAGGCTAATCAACCCAATTATAAAATGGGGCACTGAGCTGAACAGAGAATTCTCAACAGAAGAAGTTCAAATGGCCAAAAGACACTTAAGGTCATGCTCAACTTCCTTAGCGATCAGGGAAATGCAAATCAAGACAACTTTGAGATATCATCTTACACCTGTCAGAATGGCTAAAATCAAAAACACCAATGATAGCCTTTGCTGGAGAGGTTGTGGAGGAAGGGGTACCCTCATCCATTGCTGGTAGGAATGCAAACTTGTGCAACCACTCTGGAAAGCAGTGTGGCGGTTTCTCAGGAAATTCGGGATCAACCTACCCCTGGACCCAGCAATACCACTCTTGGGAATATAACCAAGAGAGGCCCTATCATACAACAAAAGTATATGCTCAACTATGTTCATAGCAGCATTGTTTGTAATAGCCAGAACCTGGAAACAACCTAGATGCCCTTCAATGGAAGAATGGATGAAGAAAGTATGAAATATATACATATTAGAGTACTACTCAGCGGTAAAAAAAACAAGGACTTCTTGAATTTTGCATACAAATGTATAGAAATAGAAAACACTATCCTGAGTGAGGTAAGCCAGACCCAAAAAGAGGAACATGGGATGTACTCACTTATAATTGGTTTCTAACCATAAATAAAGGACATTGCGCCTATAATTCGCGATCCTAGAGAAACTAAATAAGAAGGTGAACCCAAAGAAAAACATATAGGCACCCTCCTGAATATTAACCTTCATCAGGCGATGAAAGGAGACAGAGACAGAGACCCACATTGGAGCACCGGACTGAAATCTCAAGGTCCAAATCAGGAGTAGAAGGAGAGGGAGCACGAGCAAGGAACTCAGGACCGCGAGGGGTGCACCCACACACTGAGACAATGGGGATGTTCTATCGGGAATTCACCAAGGCCAGCTGGCCTGGGTCTGAAAAAGCATGGGATAAAACCGGACTTGCTGAACATAGCGGACAATGAGGACTACTGAGAACTCAAGAACAATGGCAATGGGTTTTTGATCCTACTGCACGTACTGGCTTTGGGGTAGCCTAGGCAGTTTGGATGCTCACCTTACTAGACCTGGATGGAGGTGGGTGGTCCTTGGACTTCCCACAGGGCTAGGAACCCTGATTGCTCTTTGAGCTGATGAGGGAGAGGGACTTGATCGGGGGAGGGGGAGGGAAATGGGAGGCGGTGGCAGGGAGGAGGCAGAAATCCTTAATAAATAAATAAACTAAAAAAAAAACTCTTCTCCCATGATGCCCTGCAGGGGTCTTATTTTCTCAGACATACTTTGTTTGATTATGTATACACACATACACACCAGTGTTATATTTCCACACGTAGCTTTCCCCACAGCCACCACTGGCTGCCTAAATGACCAGAAAAAGAGCAGAAGGGACCACAGGAAGTCCTCCTAGCCACTGAGAATATTCTAGTCCATCAGCGAGTTCCTGAAAGGGACCTCAATGACAGAGCTTCCTGGGTGATGGGCCGCACTCACCAGAGCTTCTGCAGGCTGCAGAACAGGTGCTTCAGTCCCACACACAGAAGCCGGACTCCAAAGTCCCCCAAGGCGTTGTCACTCAGATCCAGCTCCTTCAGCTTCTGGCTGTGGCTCAGCACAGACGAGATGTCGAAACAGCACTGGTGGGAAAGTCCACAGCGCCCCAACCTTCATGGCAAGCACAGAATCAGACACCAGAGTGTGACCCCGTCAGAATCTGGATCCTACATGTGCCCCAGACCCACAGGGTCAAACTATGGGGAGGTGGCGAAACTTCTGGGAAGCTGAGCCTTGGAGCCTCGAGGAGGACTTGTGGTCACTGCGGGGGGTGGGGTGAGGGGTGGGAGGGGGTGACCTTAAAGGGGAATTGAGGTACTGTGTTCTGTGGGAGTGTGTGTGTCTCTCTCTCCCATCTGTCTCTCTGTTTCTCCCCCTCTCTATCTCTTTCTCCTGCCCTCCTCAGTCGTCATGATGTGCACAGGCTCCTCTACCATAGAACACCACCATGATATTCCGTCTCAGACTCAAACAACAGGCTCAGCCGCCCAGGGACTAAAAGCCTGAACCTAAAGAGCCTTTCCTCCTTCTGAGTTGGGCTATCTCAGGTGCTCATCAAATGGAGGGAGAGCTGATGCACAGCCTCCCTCACCGCTCTTGCCTTCCAGTCTGGATTTGGTTTCCACACGAGGCAGAAGCAAACGTGTTCCGGAGTAACCGGAGAGTTCCTGAGCGACACACAGGACGTGTGAAGAAGTGAACTGCTGCTCACCTGGCCATAGCCCACGGCTACTGTGTTCATCCACTTTTAGGTTTTTAAATGTAAGAGTGAGGAGCCTGGAGCTCTTGTCCTCAAGAATTTCTAACAGGCATTACTGGGCATGCATCACTGGGCAAGCATCACTGGGCATGCATCGCTGGGTTTCTCATCTACACAAAAAGTCTTTGCAAGCCTCATACTTCCACCGATTTTGCTTGACAATTTAATCCCAGCGCTCTCTCCACACTGAAGAGCAATTTAGAAAGCCCAGCTGACAGGCGTTCTCATAAAGTTCCTAGCCTGTTGGGTGGGGCAGGGTCACCAATGTCACAAGCAGGAAGACACAGCTAGCAAGGGTGGGGGAAGAGCAGCCAGAGTCTCTCTGTGCTGGCCTGGTCGTTCACATTTTCCCATTCTACGTGGCACTGACTCCCAGTCTCCCATAGATATTCTCCTTAGTGAACAGATCTCCATGAGCCACAAAGAAGAACTACTGGGAATGTCAGCAAAGCTGAAGCAAAGCCCAGGACCAGTGCCTGTGTGAGCATCCGTCTGTCTGTCAGTGCCCCACACAGCTTGGAACAGCACTGATTACAATCGGTGATTCATTTTGTGCAGTTCTCTAGTGGTGGTTTGTCTCCACGAAGCCACGTTTGCCTCCAGGAGGCCACATTTGCCTCCAGGAGGTCACATTTGTCCCCAGGAGGCCATGTTTGCCTCCAGGAGGTCACATGTCAGAAGCTTGATCCTCAGTGTGGTGATGTGAGATGTGCTGACACCTTTAAGAGGTGAGACTAAGTACAAAATAATGACATCACCTCCAACACTGCCTCAAAAGGAATTAATGGAGTCTCCTTAGGAATTCAGCTGACTCCCCACATTGGGGCCAGTGAAGTAACTTAGTGAGTAAATGTTCCTGTCACCCAAACCTAGGGACCTGAGCTCTGTCCCTGGAACCAGTTTCCGTAGTTGCCCTCAGACTTCTGCATGCATGTTGTGACATGTGCAGGCCCACATTCACACACACAGACACACACACACACAGACAGACACACACACAGATATAGACAACATACCCAACACACACGCACATATTTTAAAGAAAAGAAAAATAGAAAAGTTTAAATTGTATTATTTTTTGATTTATTTTTTTCTTGTTCCATATATTTAGAGTTAATTACTTAAATAAAATAGATCATAGAATGGGGTATAAGAAACTCACATCCCACAGCACTCTAGTATGTTCTGATACTGCCAGCCGCTAGCATCTGTAATGGAACTTCCCAGCTCTCACCCAGAAGCCTGGTCCCAGAAAGAATGGAAGACGCAGGCTTGGCTTGGCCACCAAGAAATAGTTTTTTTCAGCTCTTCTTCATCTTCTCCACCTAAAACTCTCCAGACTTTCCTCCCGTCATTCAGCCTGCCCGTTCATAATAGAGTCAACTCTGTTCCTCCAAGCTTAATGTGTCAAAGTCCTATTCCAGAAGTCCACAGAGTGCAGCCATATTTGGAAATAGGCAACTTCAAATGTGTAGTTAAACTGACTCTACAGTGTTGGCCCTAGTCCAGTGGGGCCGGAATCAGATACAAGAAATGTCTGTAAGAAGTGAGAGCCCAGACAGGCAGCAGGAAGATATGCAAAGACTCAAGGAGGAAATGGTCATCTACAAGCCAGGAAGTGAGACTCGGAACCAACCAGTAGATGTGTGGTTTTGAACTTTAGCGTCCAAACCTGAGGTAAAAAATGTTAAAGCTGCCGGACCGTGGTGGCACACGCCTTTAATCCCAGTACTCGGGAGGCAGAGGCAGGCGGATCTCTGTGAGTTCGAGACCAGCCTGGTCTACAAGAGCTAGTTCCAGGACAGGCTCCAAAACCACAGAGAAACCCTGTCTCGAAAAACCAAAAAAAAAAAAAAAAAAAAGTTAAAGCCTTCAGAACTTGGCCCTTGGTCATTTTTTTACATTAGCATGGAAACAACTGACCAGACCATCAAAGATCTTTCTCTAGTGTCTCCTCCCATTCATTTCTCCCCCCTCTCGCACACACACACACACAAGCACATGCACACGCACACACGCACACACCCGGGGACTCACCACAGTCTCTGAATGTTACAGCCTGGATGCTGGAGTGCCTCGCACAGCACCCTCATGCCCGGATCCCCCAGAGTATTGTCGCTGAGGTCCAGTTCAGTGAGGTTCTCGTTGGTGCTTAGACTTGAGAAGAGGCCTCGGCAGAAGCCAGACGTGAGATAGCAGTTCACCAGTCTAAGACAGCACGGAAAAAGGACAGAAAAGAAAATCGGTTTCTAATGATAACAAACTAGAGCTCAGGACAGAGCTCCTGGCACCTATTCATAGAAAAGTCTTCTAGACGGCAACCACCAGCCATAAACCCACTGCTGATTCAGAGGGAAGCAGGCGGGAGAGCCTTGGGTAGAGAGGCTCCTTTTGAGATTCGAAGAAGTAAGCTTTTAGGCTTACTGCAAACATCCTCAGCCACCTCCTTTCCACCTTAGACTGCTGTTGTGCCCCTGGCCAGGACATGCAGCCGAGTGGCCCAAGGAGCACTTTTGACCCAGGCTGCCCAATGCATTGGGAGTGTTGTCGACAATCCTGAGGCCATGCTGCAACCACAGAAGAAAAGTCCGAATCTTAAGAGCAACACCCATCTACATTAGTAGTTTTTAGTTTTACAGTCATTTCCAGGGATTCACGTTAGAATACCCCGTAGTCTTATGAAAATGCAGAGCCTGAGGAACAGGAATGAAGTTTACCAGCATATCTGAGATCCTAGATTTGGCTCCTCATGCTACATAACAGCAGAGCATACTTGTCAATACCTGTAACCCTACTACTCAGAAAATAGTAGAAAATTGAAAACTCAAGGTCATTCTCAGTTACACAATGAGTCCAAAACTAGCTTGGGCTACATGAAGCCCTAGCTTTGAAAGGAAAAAAAAAAAAGGCAGAACTTCTTTGTTTACGCACAGGACAGGCTTTGTGACTCCAAAACTCTGATGCGGACATCCACATGGCTAGTTGTAATGATGTTTTATTTGTGTTTTAATAAATAAAACTCGCCTGAAGATCAGAAGGCAGAGTTAAACCACTGGAGGTCAGGGAGTGGCACAGACCCTTAATCCCAGGACTCAAGGCCACCCTGAGCTACACAAGATTAAATCTGTCTAAAAGAGAAACAGAGCTCACACAAAGGTGATCCCAGCACTAAGAAGGTGGAGACGGGAGTGATAGGCTGGGTGGAGAGAAATATAAAATGGGAGGAGACAGTTGCAGTCTTGAGGTTTGATGGAGACAGCTGTAGTCTACAGTCATGTTAAGGACCCAATTGCCTCTTTGTTTGTCTGAGCTTTGGTACAGGTAAAAACTCTCCAGTGGCTTGGCTGCTTTGCTTTTCTGATCTTCAGCTTGAACCCCAATATCTGTCTCTGGCTTTTTAGTGTTCATGCTACAGCTAGTCCTCTTGGAAGGTTCTGTAACAAACAAAGAAGGCCTCTGCCCAGCAAGTAAAATGGCTGTTACCCAAAGTAAAGGATCCCCACTTCTCATCAGGGGCTTTAGCCAGAGTCCCTGCCTTCCTCATAGGTGTATGGTTCTAGTCTGGCCTCTTAACCTTTCTTCAGTACAGTTAGGGCCCTAAGGAGAAAGTCTGTCTTCTTCTATCTCCTCTCTCTTTCCCTCTCCCACTGGTGTCGTCTGAATGTTCACTTTGCCCTTCAAAAACTCATATTGGTACCCTAGTCTCAGAAAGATGGGATCAGGAGGTAAGGTCCTTGGAGGATGGTTCAGTCACTGGGTTAAACCTCATATACAATAACGGTATCTTGTGAAAGAGATAACCAAGGAGTGGCTTCCCTCCATCCAATAGGTAAGAATAGTATGTGGCGTGCTCCCTCTTTAGCCTTCCCATCCTCCACAACTATAAGAAATAAACCTTTATCTTCAAAAATAACCTAGTTTCAAGCATCTGATACAGCAGCATGGATTAAAGTAAGACAGTGAGCCAGAGGATACAAGCAATGGGGGGTTTATGAACATTTCCACACACTGTCACAGTCCACCTGAGTCCACCTGACACCTTGTGCCGAAGTGGTGTGCTCCCCAGATGCTTATTTCTTAGTCTATTGGGTTTTGTCCTCAATCCCATTTATCCGCCTAGCACAAATCACTCTCTACCAATAAAAGAGTGGTAGTCACATTGTCACGAAGCTTGGCAATTATATTTGGAAAAGCAGAAAGAGAGGAGAGGAAGTAAGGACCAAGGAAAGTGACCACGAGGCATAAGACACAGGCTACCATCTGCTTGAGGTCAAATTTCCTTACCTGGAAGAGCAGGCAGCTTGGGGCTCTGGGAAAACACAATGGACCTGGTCCGTGTGCTCACTTCCTCCTTTCTCTTCTTCTTCCTTAGGTGAGTTGTGGAGAAACCCCAGGGAAAGCGTTTTCACCCGACTACAGTTCTTGATACAGAAGGAAGAAACCACATGGTCCATTCTGGTAGAGAGATTGATCTCAATTTTGGGGAAGTGGTCCATGGCTCTCTGCACAAAGTCTTCCTCCTGCATCTCATACAAGCAGTAGAACAGTTCCAGCTGGCTAGGCTGCCTCTGCAGCTTCTTGGCCTTGGCTTTCACTTCAATCCATTTCAGCAGTTCCAGTCTGACTTGCTGAGAGATCTTGCAACTTAATTTCTTCTCCAAGTAGGAGCTTCTCTCCTGGTTTACAAGGCCAAAGAGGAAACGGACAACAAAAATCAGATAGCCTTTTTCAAACTTGCCGTAATTCTCTAGGAGAACCTTCACGTCTCGGTTCAGAAGATCTGAACAGCCTGCTGGTCCCTTCCTCATAGCCACCCCCTCTTCCTCCTCTTCCAGCAAATAGTACATAGCAGCAAAGAACTCCTGGAAGGTCATGTGGCTGAAACTAAAGACTCTCTCACAGTCCACTTCCTTCTGGAACACGTTCATTCTCAGGAAAGCAGAGACGTCCGTCATCTGCAGGCCGTGTTTCCTCAGATCACACTCCTCAAATAGGATTTTCTGGTTCCAGATTCCATCTGCAGCCAGTGAGCAGAGCCCCTGTAGGTGGGAAGAGAAGAGGTGCTCCTCCGTGTCCCCTCGGGATTGCAGCAGGCTGGAAAGGAAGAAGACATAGACGGCGGTAGTGGTCTTGGAGGTCTGGGCCAGGCTCTTCCCAGCCTCCATCTGCTGCTTCAGCCCCGTGCACACGATCCAGCAGACCAGGGGGATGAAGCACATGGTAAAGAGGATCTCATTCTCTTGGATCAGCCTGAAGGCTTCCCTGGCCTGCAGCTCATCTGAGAAATACTTAAAGAAATACTCCTTCCTTTTGGCCTCAGAGAAACCCAGGATCTCAACATGGCGAGGGTGGTCCAGCAGATGCTGAAGCTTCTCCAAGGCTACGGGCCTCGTTGTAATGAGCAGAGAGGCCTTGGGCAGCAGTTTCTTTCGGATGAGGCTGCTCAGCAGAATGTCTCCCCTCACAGCCTTCTGCCAGTCTGTGCAGACCTCTCCAATGTGCTCATCAAAGGCCCCTTGCAGCTCATCAAAGCCATCCATGAGGAAGAGGATCCTGGAAGGCTTGTGCAGGATCTTACCCAGTGGTGGGTTTGGGTCAGGACAGCAGCTGACAATCAGGTCTCCCAGACTCCTTGGTGTCCTGAGGCTCACCTCTCGACAGTGGATAAAGAATACATAATCAAATTTGTCTTTGAAGAGCTTCCTGGATGCCCAGTCTAACATAATCTTCCTGGCTAGTATCGTTTTCCCAATGCCTGCTGCTCCCTGGAACACCACTGTGTGCACAGGCTCTGTGTGTTCATCCTCGGGCTCAAACAACAACTCCAGCTTAATGGAACTTATGGGTCTGTCCCACGTTTTGGTCCTGCCGATGGTCAGTAATTCATACTCCCTCTCTTGCTTGCTCGGATGCTCCTTGACCAGTTGTAGCTGAGTGTAGCGGTTGTTGAGGTCCACACTCTCACCCAGACGTGCATTCCTGTCTTTGATACAGTAGAACCTGCTTCTCACATGTTGTCTGTATATCTTACAGTAATCTGCAGCAGAGACAGCAAGGTTGACTCGGAAAAGCCCCCACACATCTCTTCCCCAACAATAAGCTATGAGTGGACCTATGCTCTTACAGGAAGAACACTGAGAATAGTGAGGAGCCAATAGCAACAACAACAACATGCATAGAATGCTGAGTGTCGACTAGAGATAATGTGCTCACCAAACATTCATATGTATATAGCAAGGTTATACTCACTGATGCAATAGTGGCATAATTGCCATGACAGTAACCAACCATTCTATGATTGGATTTGAGGTCTAGTCCCAAGGTAGGGATTCATGTCAGGCTCTGAAAGTCCAGTCAAAAGCCGGTGGCTAGGGAGCCATAGGCCCTAGCAGCAACGTGTTCTCCAGGTATCTCATTATATCTATTACTGTTTTCCCAAAAGCGTCAAGGCAACATAAAATGCAGATTAATATTAAAACATGTCCATGTGCAAAAAAAAAAAAAAAAAAAAAAAAACAAGTGCCTGTACTCTAAAGGAAGTAACGGCTGGGTTGGGTTAGGGAAATAGGAGGTATAATTCTCTCACTGCTCAAGTGTATCAGGTCCCTGAAACTCTGTCACCAATTACTTCCCACTCATGATAGAGCAGAAAGCCAGTACCACAGGCACAGCCTCCAGCCAGAAAATCTGTTATTTCAGCCTTATACCTTTAACTAAAGCCTATATCTGCCTGTAGTAAACCTTTTCCCTGGGACTTTAAGAAGCCATGCATCTACTTCTTCAGCTGAAGGTGGTCCTGTAACAGGCCTTGTTCCCTGAGGAGGAAACTTGGAGAGTGGCCAAGCTTCCCTGCTTTCCAGTCCCTTGGCCTCCTCTTCCAGGTCTCAAAACAAAGTTGGAAGCAGCAGCCCCATGCCTACCTTTCTTTTTCTTACAAATCGAGATCTGGGAAAGATATCCCAGCAAACCCATCCACTCCTCTTCAAGGCTGTCTTCCTGGCATATCACGGTGAGATTAGAAGCATACGAATCACCTAAACACAAAAGGAAAAAACACAAAGTACATCAAAAAGTCCTAACACAGAGGGTAGAATTGAGCCTAGTCTATGGGGTAGTATGGGGTGGGTCAAATGCCCTTCTGAATTAAACATAGCTTAGCCAAGTATGACAGCCCATACCTCTAAGCTCAACACTTGGGAGATAGAAGCAGGAGGACCAGAACTTCAGGAGTTATCACCAGCTGGTAGTGAGTTCAAGGCCAGCCTAGGCTGCATGAGATCATGTCTCAAAGAGGAAAAGCAAAGGAAAGAAAGAAAAAGAGGAGGAGAGGGGAGTAAACATGGCTCAGGTGGCAGGCCATAGTTATTTCATCAGAACCCCAGTATGCATGATTCTGCTTGCCTCACTTTGAAAGAGTAGCTGTCAACCATCAAACACTGTGTTCCCGAACACAGAATGTCTTTTCCAGGCCCAGACGTCCATAGAGTCCATATGAGAACAAACAGGGTTCCTTTGCCATCATCTGTCCTTGGCTTTCCCTAGTACCCTGACTTGGAGGCTATGTGCATAATCCTCAGTGTTCTCCTGACAGCCCCACCCTTCCCTGACCTCAGCTGCATGTATGTAATCCATTTGGGTCATATCCTGTGCTGCCGTGTCTAGATTCTTAGGTCCTCAGAAATGACTATTGTCAGTCTGTATAATGAAGAAGTTCAGAGCACTGGTTGACTAAATTCACATTGAAAACTTTAAAATTCTAAGAAGGACTCTACTCGAAGCAATTCTTACTCTGTGCTGAAGCTTAGGCATCACTATCCATAGAAAACCCTAAGGAGATTCCAATATGTACCTACAGCCAAGAACTACGTGTCCAAATAGTCTGAACTTTCTTCCTAGGGGAAATTTAGGAGTGCTGTAACAAAAGCCCCCTCCCAGAAAACATATCCAGTAGATTAAGAACACAGACAGGAACATAAGTGTAGGATATACCCACTCCTATGGATATAAAATTATTCTGTAAGATGATGCCAGGGTTGTAGCTCAGTTGGCAGAGTGCCTTCTTAATATGGACCAACTCTATCTATACCACATAAGCCAGGCAAGGTGTTAGTACACACCTGTAACCCTGGTACCCAGGAGGACCAGGAGTTCAAGGTAATCTTTGGCTACTCAGAGAGTTGTAGGCAAGCCTGGGCTATGTGAGACCCTTTCTAAAGAAGGAAGATCAGGAGAGACGGAAGGAAGGAGAAGACAACACCACTAGCAATGAGATCACAAAAGAAAAATCTAAACCTTGAGCAGATTAAGCCCTCAATAATTATATTCTCATTTAAGGTCTCACTTTAATCCAAACGAGAACTTCAAATACTGGTGGCAGTTTTTACACTTAAAATCCCGATATGAAAGCCAACACCACGTGGCTATACTTTTATAGTCCTGCCTGGCTTTTTACTCTGGATATGCCTGGCTCTGAGTGGGGAGCCCTGGGTAATTAGATCCTCTCCCTGACTTATGCCGTTCATTTGAAAGCATGAATAGTACTAGTAATTTCTTTATGGGGTTAGTGAAAGAGCGAAATCTATTACAACTGCCCAGTATGGGGGTTCTGAAGAGGTGGTTCAGTGGTTAAGAGCACTGGCTGCTCTTCTAGAGGATCTGGATTCAGTTTCCAGCACCCACATGGTGACTCAAACTGTCCTTTGTCACACAGCTCCGTCTCTCTCTCTCTCCTATATCACACAGCTCCGTCTCTCCTATATCACACAGCTCTGTCTCTCCTATATCACACAGCTCTCTCTCTCTCCTACATCACACAGCTCCGTCTCTCTCTCCTATATCACACAGCTCCGTCTCTCTCTCCTATATCACACAGCTCCGTCTCTCTCTCCTATATCACACAGCTCCGTCTCTCTCTCCTATATCACACAGCTCCATCTCTCCTATATCACACAGCTCCGTCTCTCCTATATCACACAGCTCTCTCTCTCCTATATCACACAGCTCCGCTCTCCTATATCACACAGCTTCATCTCTCCTATATCACACAGCTCCATCTCTCTCTCCTATATCACAATTGCCTTGCTATGCACCTCCTCGTCTCCACTGACTCAGTGGTGTAAGATGGAACCCAGGGCCCTGAGCATGCTAGGCAGGCGCTCTACTGCTGAGCTACCCCACCCCTTCCAACTCAGCATCCTCTGCCTATGACTTTCTGGTTACTCTGAATCCTTTCTGCTGTTTCACTTGTTTAGAGCGAACAAGCATCTGCCAGGAGCTGATTGGAAAACCAGAGGTGGGCCTCAGCAGGAAACAGACTCAGAGAGCAGGGTACTAGTCACAGCAGGCTACAAGTAGAGTTTTTACAGAATTAGAAAAAGCTGCTTCCTCCCTCTCTCTCATACCCCACCAGGAGAAGAGGAAAAACGGTGATAATAAATTAACATTTTAAAGATGCCAACTTCTTTGTAGCGAAGGACATAATCTCCCAGCACTTAGAAGGCAGAGGAAAGAGGATTTTGAATTTGGGGACAGCCTGGAGTACATAGCAAGTTCGAGGCCAATCTGGGATATGTGAGACTCTAATTCAAAACCAAAGAAAGGAAGACATTGAGTAAACATTGGCAATTGAAGAGACCGCAAAGTGTAGTATATACACGAATATTTGTCATTAATCTTTTTAAAGAAGGAAATTCTGAGATACATAAAGTCATTATGCTAAGTGAAATAAGTCAGTCACAAGAGACAAACACTTCGTGATTCTGCCTGCATGAGGAATCCATAGTGGTAAAGTTCACAGGAACAGAAAACAGGATGGTGGTTGCTAGGAGACAGGGTGAGGTAATGGAGAGGCATCACCTAGTGAGGGAGGAGTGTCAGTTGTGCAAGAGGGAAAGTGCTCTGGAAGTTGGTTGCACAATAATGTGAGCTTTCTTATTACTAAGCCTTAAAATTACTAAATTACCAAGACTTAAAATTACTAAAATTCTATATTTTAGGTTACATGTACTTTACTGTGAGGGAAAAAAAAAATCTTCTTGTTTACTCACTCCAGTCTGGCTGGTCCTTCTTAGCTTTTTCCCAGAGGTCTCTCCTGTTGATAGCTGCAAAGATCCACACAGCCATGGCCCAGGCCTTTTCTTCCCCATTGAAGTCAATCATGAGTGTGGCTAGATCCAAATGGTCGGCCTTCTCCATCTGGCCCCTGGGGAGTGGGATGCAGCCACTCTCAGGCGGGTAATCTTCTAGGTGCATTTTGAATTTCCTGAGGTCCACATCTTCGAGGTCCTCTAGATACTGGGCCAGCTTGCAGCGGACACTTGTCATCTTCATCAGCAGCCCTTCTGAAGGTCTTTGCGCTCAGGGCCACACTGGAACGCAGGAACGAAAACCCCATGTGGGTAAGAAGAATCTTACTAAAAGTCTCCACTTCTAGAAAATTAGATGCTAATATTGAAACATCACGGGGTACCCCATAGGTTGGTAAAAGTTTTAAAGTTTCTCAACTCAGAAAACTCAAAGAGTGGGAAAAAAAACAATCACTCGACTCTATGAATCACCATGTCTGGCTTTGAAAAGTAAACCAAACACTCACCAGAAAGTTCTCTTAGCTTGATCCAGGAATGTGTCCTGAGCCATGGAAGAAAAGCTCCCCTGCAGAGATCAAAATAAATAAGCCATCAGCCAGGTGGTGGTGACGCACGCCTTTTAATCCTAGCACTCAGGAGGCAGAGGCAGGAGGATCTCTGTGAGTTCGAGCCCAGCCTGGTCTACAAGGGCTAGTTCCAGGACAGGCTCCAAAGCTACAGAGAAACCCTGTCTTAATAAACAAACAAATAAGCCATCAATAAATCAAGCATAGTATGCAGAAAACAAACGTACATGAGAGCATAGGACTGTGGTCCCGTGGTGACAAGGCTGGGACCTGGACACTCTTCACTATTACTCAATTTCAGCTTCCTCATTTAGTCACCGAGGAAGCAAAAGAGATTTGCTTTCTGATTTCTTTTAATGGAAGGTTCTGGTCTCTTGTTCCTTTTTTTCATCTGAGGGAAAGGAACAAAGGAAGGAGAAAACCAGGAGAAAAGATGCTACAGTCATGACAAAGCAAAAGAGGGGGAAGACTCCCAGCACAGAGGGGCAGGACTCCCAGCACAGAGGATGAAGACTCCCAGCACAGAGGGGGAGGACTCCCAGCACAGAGGAGAGGATGCCCCACGCAGAGGGGGAGAACGCCCCATGCAGAGGGGGAGAACGCCCCACGCAGAGGGGGAGGACTCCCAGCATACAGGGGTAGGTAATCTTTCACTGCTCCTCTACTTCCCACTGACAGATAGAAGACAATCAGGTGGAAGCTGGGTGAATATAAAGGAGAACCGAATGCCCACATCTCTTCAATGGCTCTTAGAAAGTTTCTTAGAGACAAATATCATGAGAATCACGGGTCACATTTAGTTAGAACTCATGGTTAGATTAGCCTGATTATTCTCTCTCATCGAGTTTCTCAATTGAAGTGTGTAGGTTCCTCCTGCTGAGTAGTAGAGACTCTAAGTGACTTTCTTAGATGGAAGCCGTTAATGACAGGGGAGGGGAAAGAGCCTGGACAATGGTAATGGGCTCTAAACTGGTATTTATATGACAGCAAGTTGACCCTTGAGGCAACTCAAGATCAACGATCCCTGTCCCTTTTCCATTCTGTGTCTCCTCTCCCTGCCCCATGCAACAGCTCACATCTTCCTTTCAGTCATCTCTCGGGCTTTCACTGACAGCTACCCCAGCTCTACAGATCCTCCTAGATTGAGCCCTCTGCTCACATCCATACTGGGAATTTTCAGTCCTCTGCTCCCCGCCCCTGAGACCTGCTGCAATGGCTTTGGTCTTTACTTTGGCTACCCCTGGGCTTCCATCACACTTCCTTACAAGCATCCCACCCTCTGCTGCCCCGAGTAGATGCTGGGCAAGCCTGTTGAAGTCCTTGGAAGCTATAACTGCTTCTTTCGCGACCCCCCCAACACCTCCCCAACATGCGCAAACCAAGTAAGCAACAAACAGAAGATCCCAAAATACTTTAAAGCTAGACCTAGAGTCTAGAAGAAATTTCTAGTTTGTTGACCAAGACAAATCATGCCATGAAATATAGTTTCCCATTCCTTCCTGGACCTTTTGCCCATACTGCTCCATGAAACTGTACTCACCCGGATACCGGCCTTAGGTAGAACCGAAGAGGAAACGAGATGACTTTATAGTGGTCACTGACACTGGAGGCAGGAAGGATGTGGTTTCCGGAAGTGTACGAGCTTGCATCACCGTCAAAGGCAAATTAATAGTTACTCATCTGGATGGGTTTTCCAAACCCAAGCAATAGACTTCTGAGTATAAATCTGGGCTGCAGACCAGAATTCCCCAGGGTCCTTGGGAAAGACTTTAGAATAGTGGGCTCAGTCCCCCGGGGGAGGGCTGGGACTCCAGAGAAGAGGGAAGTGCGCAGTGCTAAGCAGAACTGCTGAGCGGAGAGTTGAGAATAAGCTCAGGCTCTGAAACCCCGTGTTCCATGTTCTTCCCTCTCACATGGAGACGGTCAGCAGGCAGCTACGAGTGTTTGCCGTCCCCGTTATTTTTGAAGGCAGATGTCCTACTCCGCTACTTTTGGACTCACCTGTCGGGTTGATTTGGAAAATCAGCTGTGTCCGAGGAAAAAAACCAAAAGCACCTGACCTTCTTTACCCCTGAAAAACAAGGGGAAAGCTGGTCACACAGCCCTGCTTTCCCTGCTCCTTTTAGTGGCTGTAGGACCACAGCCGGACGGGGGCATGGGTTCCACCAAGTTCTGAGCAAGAGGTACTCACTCTCTCAGTATCCGGCACAAGGCGGCTGCTCACGCTAAACTACAGGCAAAGTGACAGACCACATCTCAGAGACTCTGTAGATCCAGTGGCAGCAGCAACAAGAGCTCAGATGCTAAATCCAGACAGGAAGCAAATCAGACACATTCAGGAAGACCGGAGCTACCGCCTATAGGCAAGAATTTTTTTTTTAAGTCGGTTGTAAATCGCGTTGACTGAGATATATTTTATGTGCAGCAAAAATCCACACCTTTATAAAAACAGATATGTAGATTAATAGAAAAGAGTAGAAAGTGCAAAAATAAGTCTGTTTATGTGAGCAACTGATTTTGACAAAGACCACCGAGAAGATAAAAAGAAAGGCGATCTCTTCAACTACTGGTCTCTCCGCCAGACGCAGTGGTGCACATCTGTAGTACCAGTGCCTTTGGAGGTTGGAGCAGGGATTTATAAGTTCAAGGCCATCCTGGGCAACTCAGTGGGACACTGTCTCAAAATAAAAACGGGGGGGGGGGGAATGGAGCTAGATGGTAGAACCTTATGTCGTTGTTTTTACTCTTAGCTCTTTACTCTTTGAGTGCCCACCACCCAGCTCCCAAATAAATACAGAGTCTTATTATTACTTATAAATACCCTGTCTTATCTTGGCTTGTTTCTTGCCAGCTTTTCTTATATTAAATTATCCCATCTATGTTTTGCCTCTGGGCTATTTCCTTTTTCTATTTCTGTATACCTTTCTTTACTTCATACTCCATGGCTGTGTAGCTGGGTGGCTGTCCCCTGGAGTCCTACTCCTTCTCTGGCTCCTAGATCTCTCTCTCCCCAGATTTCTCCTCCTATTTATTCTCCTCCTGCCAGCCCTGCCTATCCTTTCACCTGCCTTGCTATTGGCCATTTAACTCTTTATTAGACCAATCAGGTTTTTTGTTTGTTTGTTTTTAGCTGTCCTGGAATTAGATCTTGTAGACCAGGCTGGCCTCAAACTCGCAGAGATCTGCCTGCCTCTCCCTCCCAGGTGCTGGGATTAAAGCCACTGCCCAGCTTTTTTTTTCCTTTTTTTTCTTTTTCCATTCAAATATTTACACTTCCTTCCCTCCTCCCAATCCCCTCCTGCTCCCCCCTCCTCCCTCCCTCTCCCTGCTTGAGAGAGGGCAGGGAATCCTGCCCTGTGGGAAGTCCAAGGCCCTCGCCCCCTACATCCAGGCCTAGGAAGCTATGCATCCATATAGACTAGGGTCCCAAAAAGTCAGAACATGCCATAAAACCAAGTCCCAGTGTCTTTATCAATGGCTTCTCAGTCAGCCCCCATTGTCAGCCACAATCAGAGTGTCCAGTTTGATCACATGCTCGTTCAGACCCAGTCCAGCTGGATTTGGTGAGCTCCCATTAGAACAGGCACACTGTCTCAGTGGGTGGACCAACCCCTCATGGTCCTGACTTCCTTTCTCATCTTCTCCCTCCTTCTGCCCTTCAACTGGACCTTGGGAGCTCAGTCCATTGCTCTGATGAGGGTCTCTGTCTCTATCTCCATCCATCGCCAGATGAAGATTTTATGGTGATATTCAAGATAATCATCAGTGTGATAGTGGGGCAAGGCCTCTCCTCTGCTGCCCAAGGACCTAGCTGGGGACATCCCCGTGGACACCTGGGATCCCCTCTAGAGCCAAGTCTCTTGCCAATGCTAAAATGGCTCCCTTAATGTAGGTATCTTCTTCCCTGCTTCTATATCTGCCCTTCCTCCATCTCCACCCTCCCACTCCCCCAAGCTCTCACCAATCACCTGTCAGAATGGCTAAAATTAAAAACACCAATGATAGCCTATGCTGGAGAGGATGTAGAGTAAGGGGAACACTCATCCATTGCTGATGGGAATGCAAACTTGTGCAACCGCTTTGGAAATTAGTGTGGTGGTTTCTCAGGAAATTGGGAATCAACCTACCTCAGGATCCAGCAATACCACTCCTGGGAATATACCCAAGAGATGTCCAATTATACTACAAAAGCATTTGTTCAACTATGTTCATAGCAGCATTATTTGTAATAGCCAGAACCTGAAAACAACCTAGATGCCTCTCAATGGAAGAATGGATAAAGAAAGTGTGGAATATGTACGCATCAGAGTACTACTCAGCCGTAAAAAACAATGGCATCTTGAATTTTGCATGCAAATGGATGGAAATAGAAAACACTATCCTGAGTGAGATAACCCAGACCCAAAAAGATGAATATGGTATGTACTCACTCATTTGTGGACTCTAGCCATAAACCAAGGACAATAAGTCTATAGTTCACAAGCCTAGAAAAGTCAAATAACAAGGAGAACCCAAAGAAAAACATATATAAATCCTCCTAGAAATTGGAAGCAAACAAGATTGCCAGGCAAAAGTTGGGAGCATGTGGGTGGGGGTAGGGGTGGAGGTGAGGTTGGGGGAAAGGAAGAGGGGGAGAGGGAAGGGAGAAGGGAAAGACTGCCGGCTTTTTAAAAATAAT